ACAGACCACACACCTCCAAATACAGGATTTTGTATTTACGTTAGCTGTTTAAGCTGACACTGAGAGAATTCTGTCGGCTTCTTAAATCAGCATCAGCATCTATTTCTTGCATGTCAGGTTTAACCACACAAATGTGACTTTCTGTAGGCAGACTCAGTGGACAAGTAGAGTGAGACGTGTTAAATGTTTATGAGTTATCTCGCATGTTCTGTGTGCTGAGGGTTTGTTCCCAGGTAGGGTAAGCCTGGGGCAAAGTAATATGAACCATTTCTGACACCAATAAGGATGATTAGACCAGTCCAAAATAATTTTTAATTATTAATCATTTAAAGGTTGGAGGGGGGGAATTGATGGGAGATGGAAATAAAAAATAAGGTAAATGTTTGTAAAAGTAGCTGTTTGCATTTCCTAAGAATACCAGAAAACGGCTTGTTTGAAGGTCAGAGGATCATGAGCAGCTTGAAACAAGGTAGATCCATAATAGGTTCAAAGCATGATAGCTTGATTTCTGTCAGGGGAGCTTTCACAGTTTATGCCAAGTGAATGTCTGCCCCAAGAAAGCAGTTGTGTCTGTAAATACAAAGGACAGTGGAAGCCTCCTGGTCCAGCTGGCATGCTGGAGCAGAGCCCACAGAATTAGGTGTTTAACCATGAAGTTGGTTAGTTGCAGTCATTTATTATACCTTTTGTGACCATGATTTGGTCACCCTCCAAAAGCTGTATTACATTGTCCTGGCTCTAGCTGAAAGTATTTTAAACCTCTCCCGTTGCCCCTGGAGCGGTGGCCTCTGGATGGGCTGGTGCTGGACAAGGGGTCCAGGGTAGGGTTGGGACGACCTTGTACCATGGCTGCTCTGCAGGGGGCTGCTGTCAGAGGTGGGTTCAGTGACTCAGTACCACGCTCTGCAAAAGTATTATTCATAAGAAGATAACCTTGTAAGTAGAGAAAACAGGTCAATGAAGGAGAAGTGCAACTTGGCCTCTTGTCTTTTTCTCAATCTGGGACAAGAGAGAAAAGCCTTAGAGACCCTTCAGAGCCAAAGACTTGCTTCCAAACATTATGGTTTATTCTCTTTTTCCTGTTTATTCTCTGTGCTAGGTCTTTTGTGGTTCCGTCCTGAGCTTTTTGCTTGTATATTTGGATAACTCCCTGGGCTAAGCAGAGTGAAGCAGGAGGACTTTTCCCCAATTCATAGCTCCCCCATTCCCAACCTCCAGAGTAATTTCTGTCATTTCATTCCCCTCTATGTTTCTTCCTTTTATTTAATTACTTGCAATCAGCCAGGTAATGTCAAGCAACCCCAATAAGTCTCATGTGATAATTCACAAACAATACAGGTATTTTCCCTAAGACTCCCAGTGTTATCTTTCCATACTCATTTGTGGCTCTTTTTTTGACAAGGATGAGGCAAGTTCTAGAAGTCTACAGTCATGATTTTGTGTGCAAATGCTAATATCTGCCAAACTCTTCTCATGGAGAAGGATTGAAAAGAACTGAAACAGGATAGATTTAGATTAGATATTAGGAAGAAATTCTTCACTGTGAGAGTGGTGAGGAGCTGGAAGAGGTTGCCCAGAGATGCTGTGAATGCCCCGTCCCTGGAAATGTTCAAGGCCAGGTTGGATGGGGCTTGGAGCAACCTAGTCTAGTGGAAGGGGTCCATGCCTGTGACAGGGGGGTTGGAACTAGATGATCTTTAAGATCCCTTCCAACCATAGCATCCTATGATTCTATAACTCTGTGAATGTGACCGTGCACAATGGTGTGACTAAACCCCATATTTATTACCTATTGTGTGTAATTGACATAGGTATCAATGGTGTACAGTCACAAAAATAACAGAAGACTTTGCTGGAGTTTCATGAAACCACTGTTGCTTGATTTGTGTTTAAAATAATGGACTCCACAGAGGGTAGTAGATTCTCACTGACCTTTGTAAGAAGAACATTTTCTGGGCTGTTTTCAGGGAAGCCCCTTAAAGCGGCAGTGGGACAGTTGTGCTTTTTGTGGGTAGGATGAGTAAAGAGTCTTTATGTCTAAAGAGTTACACCTCCACTTAGGGTGAGACAGCAAGCTAGCAATGGGTCCCTGGGGGCATTTTAGGTTTTGAAAGATTGATGAAATGCTTTGCAGGAAAGGATTCCCCTGTGCTGTACTTGTTTTATGTTCCTGTTATTTCACTGGAGGCCAGATAACAGGCTTAATCCTGTTTCCATTTAAATGAATGATAAAAAACTTCCATTGACTGCAGGGAGAGTGGGGATTGAGCCTGGTGTGTTGCTTTATGTTACAGTAACAATTGGTTATCATGCATTAAATATTACTCCTGGGGTCTATATCCATATTTCAATCATGGGGTTGTAGAGGGGTTCTTTGCTACAGTTTTTAGCTGCAGCAAAGTCTTAAGGCAAAGTTGCTCTGTCTACTGGAATCTGGATATGCCATTACCACAGTAAGGCCCTCATGTCTGTATGGTTTGGTGCGTTCTCTTTGTTGTAAGTAAGGATAACTTAATTAATTCTGATTAATTAAGGACCCCATGGTAACTGCAGGTTCAAAAATTCATCTGAAATGGAGACAACATTGGGTCTCAGGCTTGCTCTCATGAAACCAGTGATGTGCTCTTGCTTACTTTAGTACAGCGAGGCTTGTAGTGACCAGCAAGGCTTGAGGAGAAGGACCTGGAGTCATGCTGGCTGAATGTGACTCTCCCGGGGAACTTGTTGTCTGGGAGCCTGCAGGCTCGCTGGGCAGGGCGTCGCCGTGACCCCAGGCAGGTGATGGTCTCCCCAGCTCTGGAGCTGGAGGTGGCACGAGACACCCGGTAGCACAGGCAGGTGGGCGCCATTCAGTCACAAGGCCACACTGGAGATTATTTTTAGCCATTCCACTTCCACATGGCAAAGCTAATCCGGTGTACTTGCCTTTTTGCTTGTGCATTTCACTCCCATCCTCCTCACCTGTGAATCTGAGGCAGACTGAGTGTCCCTGAGCAGGTGTGGAGGGATGCAGGCAATGCTGCTGCTGCTGATGGTCTGCGGCTCTTGCACCAGTTGGAGGATTAGGCAGGCTGGAGTGAGCTCAGATCCCTCAGGTGCTAGTGTCAGATGTAGAGAAGCTGCCATGAGACATTAGCTTACCTTAAAAAAAGGGAGGGAGAGGTATTTGCTGGGTAAGTATATCAGCAAAGGCGCAGCTGTTCTCCAGGTATCTCACATAACAAAGTGACAGCAACTGGTGGATGAGCTTGAATTTATAAATTCTGATGAATATAAATAAAATAATATTTAGTCTTTCTGATCTGAATATATTGCTCCAGTAACAGAATCTATCTGTTTCCATGCTACCGAATAAAAATACGATTTATTCTGAATTTTCTTACCTTTTTTATGGAGATGTCTGCCAGCATCATTACTCCCTCAGTAAACACTGTGAAGTTTCCAGGCTCCTACCCACAGCCTGGAGGAGGACCGTGGGTTGCCTGGAGGCTATGCGAAGTGACTGATAAAACAAACCAGAGTCAGTAGGCTTTAGTGTACGGTGGTGGATGCATCTGCCTTGGAAATCTTTTTGAGATGCACAAATCAGAAAAGATTGAAAATTGCTGCTGTAATCTACCCAGATCCTCTTAATACTTATAGTAATGTGCTCCCTTTCATTAAGATGATGACAGTGATGGGGTCAGGTGGGTTTGGGTTTGCAGCAGTTGGTATAATTTACAAGTGGTGTAATTTGGCATGGTGGCAGTGCAGTGATAGGGTTTATCACCACCCAAATGCTTCTCATTTATTTGTTTGTGTGTTGAGGCAAAACCAAAGCAAAGAAGTACATGCAAGAGGGTAAAAAAAAGGATTTGTGTGCAAAGCACATTACTATTTCATATTGCATTGCCGAAAATTATTTAGTACAACTTGGGCTAAGGAAGGCAGGTGTATATGAATTTATGTAGGTCTAAAGTTATTAGGACGGTCATGAACTTAAGATTTTTGCAGGACATAAAACCTAACAGTTTTATTTAGGCCTAAAATGCACTATTTGCTTGTTGAAAATCCCTGTTACATTTGAAGATCTCAAATCTCCAAAATTTGGAGGATTCATTTTTTTCTTTGTGTAAGGAACTCTTATTTTCTCTGGTATAAGAAAAGTGACTGGGAAGTCAGGAGAGCAGGAATTGAAATGCTGACATGTCATCTGAACAGTATTTGCCAGTGGCATTTCTTCCACATGAAGGGTGTGTTTCAGCACAAATCTAGTATATGTATATTAGTCACAAATATGCAAGCAAGAGGTAAAGAACTGATGAATTTCTGTGAATCTACAGAAGAAAAATAGTTATTAATGCTGTACAAAATAATGGCTTTGTACTTTAACACAGAATGCAGACATCCGTGGATTCCCCTTTCCCACTTTCTTTGCTACTAGGATGAAGGAAAAAAGAGTTCCTGTGTGTTTTGCACCATGTATTCTCAGACTTGCATCAGCCAGTCTGGGTATTAGGCATCAGATGGATTAACGTAATTGATTTCTTCAGTTTACCCAACATGGCTTTTGGTTCAAGGTCTGCTTGCTTCCACTTTTAAATGTGTAACAACTCAGCTGTGGATGTCAGTTTATTTTGTCAGTAAGCTGTAAAATATCGGTAAGTTTTCATGCAAATATGAAAGGCTTCACTTGCCAATAGGTACATAAAATAAATGGCGCATTCATACTGTTACATTTATGTGATACAGGTTATTCCTCAGGGCCTAATATTTTTACATAAAATAGATTATCATTTCAAAACAGCAGCATACTGGACTTTTTTAAGTCTATGAACACATGCATGTCAGCTTTAATTTAACAGAGAGATTGTGTTCAAAGGATTAGCAGATCTTTTATAAAACACATGTTGTAAGTAGTTGTGGTCATTTCTGTTGGTTTCTTTTCCTTTAGATTTTTTTGGTAGTACACAGCAAATTCACTGGTTTTTTTTCTTGATTTTGTTCTTTTTGCTCTCCAGTGAACAGAGTATTTGCCAAGCCCGGGCTTCAGTTATGGTCTATGACGATACTAGTAAGAAATGGGTGCCAATCAAACCTGGACAGCAGGGATTCAGCAGAATCAACATATACCACAACACGGCCACTAACACCTTCAGGGTAGTTGGAGTTAAACTGCAAGATCAACAAGTGAGTAACTGTATTGAGTTTCCTGTAAATTAACCTTTGATCTCGTTTGATACTGTCGGTTCTACACTTAATGCAGTCTAGCAACATTTCCTGCTCCCTGCAAGGTGCCTACAAGTCTGTTTACCCCAGTCATTCAGATTTTGTGTAAATTTTTGCACACATAATGTATCATAATTTATTACTGCTTATTTGCAAACAGAACTTTTGGTAGATGCCAGAGAGATTTTAATGTTATTTTTCCCTCCCTCCATTTTTGCTTGTGAAATGAGTCTTATTTCACTCTGCAGGTTTTGCTCTCAGCTCCCCCTAACTTACTTTTTGCTCGTTTTTAGTACTAGATAAAAAAAAAAATAATAATTAATCCTTCTGCACTGCCATCTCACAAAGTGAGATTGTTACATTACTGTGATAAGTAATTAGTTCCTCGTAATGCATTTTAAAATCCTAGGTGCACACTGTGATCTGATTTACCGCAGCCTAAGTCTGCAGGACCTCCTTGGGTATTAAAGGAGTTATATGGGATTTAGATTATCAGAACTGGGATCAGACCCCCCTTGGCCACCAAAGCACGGTGCTCAGCCGGGGGCTGCCACGGCGTGGCTCCAGACAGCTTGGCTCGCAGATGCGTGGGGCAGTGCAGAACCTCTGTAACCAAATGTCACGTTTAGACCTTAAATTACAAAAATTTACTTGGGTGGAGTAACAGTGCCATAGTGCCATTTGCATTTTAGAGCAGAAATTTCAGAGTCGGGGACTCCCTCTGTGTGTTGGTATGATGCTGGCACGGCGGTGGCAGCCTAGCCTGCCCGCACTGCCCACCTCTCGCACTCACCCTGAGCCCTCAACCTGGCAGAAGAATCAGAAAAAAGTGGGCAATTGATTCCCTGTTGGTTCAGAGACTGGCATTACCTCCTGGGAAGGTGAGATGAGCACCGCCACAAGTGTGAAATGGGCAGGGGCAGGGCAAGGCAAGGCAAGCCAAGCCGAGCCAAGCCAGAGAGCAGGAGCTGGGGTACCACAACCTCTTGGCTGCCGCAAATGTTGAATTGACTGATCTGCCCATGGAAATACAGATAATGTCCCTCGGCTGTCAGCTGTTATGATGCTTGGGCCAACTGGAAAAGTTAATCATGCTTACTGGGAGTGTTAATGACTTTGCTACACTGTCCAGATACGCAGTCATCATTTTTAAAAAAGGAAAAGCAGAATAGAAATAGGTGGGGGTTTTGAGCACATTGGTTTTCAGCTCCTTGCAGTGCACTTTTGAAACATCTGTCATATCTTTTGCCACTGCTTTTATCATTCTCAGTAGAGCAAAGGCAACATATTAATGTATTATTTCAAAAGTAGAAAATATTTTCAAAAATAAATGAAATACAGTGGCTTCTTAGTCAGTTGTGAAAGCCAATACTGCTTTGAAACAGGCCATGCTAGCTGTTTATTTTACATAGCCAGCAGGTGAATGTAAATGATTTCCATGTGAGTACAATCTAAGACTAGTCTGAATAACTGATGTAAAACAAGCAAAAGTCATAAAGTCTATGTATATGTGTAAGGGAGACTATGTACCAAAGGTCTGTCTTAATCAGAGTATACAATTTAAAGAACACAATATATTAAAAAGTAAAATCTTGATCTGTACTTTAAACATGTTTTGCATTAACTATAACATTCTATTTGCTTGCAAATATTCGTACTTACGAAAAGGCTTCATGCCATCTAAAAATCATCTCAGAAGGAAAAAGATAGAAGAACATTTTTTTTCAAGAGTTTAAAGACAAAAAATCATCCCTCAAACAAACAAAAAAGTACAGGTTACCTTAGTCACTTAAAACTATCAAAAAGAAAGTATTCACCTTAAATATGATTACAAAAGTCCAGTATTATGAATAAAGTAATTCAAGACAGCGTAGCATAGTAGTATTAAAAGGAACATTCTGAAAGTCTCAAGATTCAGAATTTAATATATTTTATACAAGTCTCACATGGAATTATAAGCTTGCTAAGCTTGCTAAGTATTTGCATTTAATGAGAACAAAAATTAATTTCAGTTAAAATAATGCTCTGTACAAGCCATTTCATGCTTGCTCTCAGGTTGTGCTAAATCACACTGAAAGTGAGGGTTTAATAAAAGCTGTTGCTTTACCAGGAAAACCGTATTTTTCTGAAAAGCACCAGTCTTCAGCTAATATGTGATTTGGCATATAATGAAGCTAGTGAAGCTACACAGGTTTCCAGGAGTTGAGAAACTAGTTTAAAATATGTAACACAACAATACTACAGAGGAACAATTTTAAATTTTATTACATACTGTTTGGCAAGGCGCAGACTAGAGTAATCTTCATGACTTCACCCCTGCCTGCTTTTAATGTTTCAGTTTTAATTTTTGTTGGTTTATATTACACCTCTAATAATCTCTCTCTTTAATTTTCATCCTCTTTTTTTTCCCTTCGTATCTTCTTCTGTAAACTCCTTTTGTTGTCTTTGTCTAACTGCCTTTCTGTTTTCTAGCCCTTTTTTGGTGCATGTGTTAAGAGTTTATGATACTGGGTTCTCATTCTGCTTACCTTATCTGTGTTCATTTGCTTCTCTCACTGGTGGTGTCTAAAAAGTTCACCGCAAAGAAATATGGTTTTGAGAGTGGCAGAACTTGAGCATCATTCTCACCACGGGGAAGTGGTCACCTGACCTCTTGTTCTGCTTGTGTGTCTGGGTGATGTACTCAACGCGTGCTTGTGTGCAGCAGCAGTGCTAAGTTACAGACCAGTGCTACATGAATTCCCCTTTCTGCTCTGCACGGCCATGCACATTTGCATAGACTTCATGCTGGCAAGAGCAGTAATCTTCAGACAGCCAGAAGTAGACTTTTGAACCTTTGAAGTGTCCACAGAGGCCAGAACTGGTTCGAAGCTAAGGCCAGATCAGTATTACGACTGCTTGATGTCATGAGCTTTAATGTTTCCTTGCAGCCTCCATTTTCTTGCAGCCCAACAGTCGGAAGCAAATGTTTTAGCCCGGTGTTCCGACTTGCCAGCTGTTGTTGTAACCTAGCCTGTTGTAAAGGCAAAGTGTAACACACTTCATTCACCATGCTTCAGTCACCATGCAAGAAGTTCACAAAGCTGAAAACATACAAGTCATCTATGTTTATGGCTCAGCTGACAAGCAGTAGCTCCCCAGTTTGGAGACCTGATCAACTCAGGGTTTAAAATTATGAGTTTACCTGAAGTGATTTCAGCTCAGCATGATCTCATCACCGAAAGAGATGTGCTGAGCAAACAGGCGGGGAGGAGGGTGCAAGTCAAAAATGAATCATATCTCCTGAGGGTTTGGTGTATTGGTGTGGCTAAGAAGGGAATGCGAAAACAGGGCCTTGGGGCAGGTGGGACATTTGACATTTGAGCCTAAGCCAAAAGTGAAACGGGGACAGCATTCTTGAGATACAAACTAAACCACATTTTTTGAAAAATAAAGAACCAATTAATCACCTCTGTAACTTACTAGAAGTTGGTTGGGTTTGGGCCTGCTTATAGAAATAAAGAATCTGGCCTCAACTGTAGCAGTTTTTAACTGCTACGCCAAATCCTCCCTGTTTTGGTAACCGTGTGTCTGCTCCGCATGAGAGGAGTCTGAGTGCTGGCAGCGCAGCAGGCCCCAAGCTGATGGCAAAATTCTGAAACATTTCATACTCTGGAGAAACAAGCAAATGTCTTGTTCTGGTTCAATAAGCAAGAGTAAGGGTGGTAAGACTTGTGTGGGAGCTCTTCCCGTGATCTTGGTTGTGGTTACACCTCAGATGTGGTCCTGAGGCCCACTCGGTCCCTTCTAGCCCCATTCTTGCGAGTCCTGTCAACCACCACCATCATCGCTGCTGACAACTTAGAACTCAGCAGCCTACAGACTGCAGTCAAAGAGAAAGGCTTCTTGAGTTTGAGCTTTTTAACAGATCCCAAAATTCCCTGGCTGCCTCAGAGAGCCTACACTTGAAACGGAGATGAAAGGGTGAAGGAGAGTACTGAGTAGAAGTGAAGCAAATCTTTTTTTAGCATTATAGTGATGGGAACAATGAAAGGTGTCAACATCATATTAATACTATGCACAGCTGGTCTGTGAAACTCCTTGCCATATTAGGTCATTGAAATCCAGAATTTAACCAGGTTCAGAACAACACAGACGTTTATATCAGTAACCAGACTACTTTGTTTCAAGATAGAAAATACTAAAAGGAGTTGGAAAAGAAAAAGATAGGCACATAAAATGTCATGTTTCAGCTTTTAAGACAAACTCTGGGTGAAGAATTATAGGAAGAACTGTTTGTTGTGGACAAATCCATTACTTATTTCTGCAAGATTTCCAGTAAGTTTCTCCAATTCAACTATTATAGACTACAACTGAAGATTTAAAAGATGAACTGTTGGTCTGCTCAGCATGCCAGATGCTCTTACTGACATAAAAACTTTAGAGTAAAGATCCCTTAGAAACACCTGTAAAAAACCCCCCTGTGCTCCAAACAGGGAGACCTTCTTTATTTTAATTAATGCTCTGAAGCACTTAGTTATCATCATGGGCCTTGCAGAGTCTCCACACCATCTGTACAAGATACCTTTGTGCACTCCTTCTTAAAAACAGCAGGAGAACCCCTCCTCTTTTTTCTGTTGTCTAGAAACATTAACCAAAGAAGACAAAATGAAACTCTGGCTATTTTATGTTTCATTTCCAGTTTTAAACTCTCTGTTTTGCGTTTGAAGACAAGGTATTACATGTGTAGGCATCCTGATGATTACTGAAGGTCAACATTCAAATTCTGTCTTTATTCGAGTGAAGGGATCAAACCCTCAGAACAGAGCAGATCTCTGACTTCCTTGTCTCAATGTCTGGGAAAGCAAATTTTGAACAGTTTACCTGACTTCTATTAAACAATTTTTGGCATAAGTTTTTACAATTTCTGAGTTTCATTATACAACTGCACTATACCCTCTGGTTCTCTTTGGACTTTGATAGTGCTGTCCTTGGAAACAGAAGATTCTTTTAGTAGGTTAGAAATGACTCACTTTTCGAAGCCTGGTAGAAGCTTGTAGTCTTTCTAAACATTTCCTTGAAGATCCTGGCTGTGCCTTCCCTTGGTTAAGCTACTTGGAAATAGTTGGAAGACTTAAAAATTGGTACATGTTAAAACTGTTGGGTTAGTAATCCAGGCATGAGTCTACTTGATGGCTCCAGAGACTCCTTGAGTGTGAGAAATATAGCTACAGGCTCTCTCAATGCTCAGCGGTAGAATGGGGATGATGTCGCCATTTTTCAAAAGAAAAGGGCTATCTAGGCTGTCAACTATATGAGTGAATTCATGGCTTTGCTGTGACGGGAATGACGTGGTTTCTACTTTGTTCTGGTTGATGTGGGTGGCTTCCCACACAACATTCTGGTGATGCGGTTCCCATTTTCAGGGGACTAACTCTTTGGAGCCTGCATACCAAATGTAAGCTGCCTTGCATCTCCCTTTGGATCACAGGTCAGGAATTGCTCAGTGAAATGTGACAAAAAAAGCAGTGTAGGTCTGATTGCTGCCCAGTGCATTTACATGGAAACTTAATAATGATATTGATTTGAGAGCAACAGTAGGATCAGACACTGGATGTTCAAAAACCATCAGGATAATTTATGTGTAAAGCTAGACCAAGTATTGAAAGACTATCTGCTATATGTCACTGTTTAATGCTCGCTCAGGTAAGTGAATGCATTATAGAAATAGAGTATATCTGTAATTATCTACTGGTGTAGTTGCTTCTTTGCTGGTTTCCATAATTTTTTATATATTAGTATAGTTATCAGACTTCTGTTGTCTATATGAATGAGACAATGTCATCCTTCAAAAATAGGAATGTGTGAAAAACAATTTGCTCCTTATGTATTAGGTGCTCATCCACTGTTTTTCTGCTAATTTAAATTGACAATCCACTGAAAAGTCAAAACTCAGACCTAGGAGTCATTCAGCTTTGAAATTAGTTTCAAAACTTTGCTTTTATAATTGAGAAGAATTGTCAGTCATCTAGCAAAAATATTGTTAATCTAATTAAATATATTGGAGTTTTTCAGATGCAGTAATAGTACTAATGGAAAACTTTCCAAAGTACTGGTTGATCTGACTGTGAAAAAGATGTGTTAGGTTTTCTGGTGTGTGGGATCCACCTGTAATGATAAATACTGTGTACAGCATTTATTTGTACTGGCTCTCTGTTCCCTTATCTTCTGTTGCTCCAATCTTCCCAAGTCCAGGATGGTAAGACTCGTGCGAAGAGTGAGCTCGCACCAAGGTCCCTCTTCCTACTCCTGTATGCCAGTGTCCAGCCTGCCTAGTTTACAGATGAGCCATGCAAACTAGTTGATGGAGAATTTCCATTGATTAGCTTTCAATGAGGACTAGAAATTGTGGGATTGTTCTGGCTCTTGATAAAACTCCAGCCAAAAGAACTCCATTTGTAGAGACAATCTTGAATATTTAAAACCAGATTTGCCCTGTTTGAATAATGAACTTCAGGCTTTCCCTGCTCATAATTTTAAGTTTCTCTGCCCCTGGTTCCCTTCTGCCCCCAGCCTGTGTGGGCTGATGAAGAGGGAGCCTCCATTTTCTACGCCTTCTCTATTTTTGACTGCACTGTGCCTGTTTAGGAGGATAATTATGATCTCTTCTGTCAGCATTTGTTTCTTAAATTTACATCACAGCAGGGTGCCATTGTCAGTCCACAGATAGGTATCTCGGGGGTACTGTCTCTGCCATGAGTCCTTCTGGCTTATTAGGGGTGCAGCGGACACTCCTGCCTCTCTGCCTTCAGCTAGAGCAGCTTACACTTTTAGCGTTGGAGGTTTCTGGTCGGATCCCAGGTGTACTGTGTAGCTGGGTGTCCCACGTGACCTGCCCAAGGATAAACAGGGCATTGTATTTAGCAGATTAAATCCAAACATACAGAAAGACCCTTCTGCTGCAATCACCCTAACCTGGAAATTATGGCATGTACAGCAAGGGAGGAAGTGGGAGAGGAAATACTTGGTTGTCTGGTTTTATCATTGCCCATCTGATTCTAGAGAAAAAATTCTCTCAACATAAGAAGCTAGTGGTGATCAGGCGCATGGGGGGAGAAAAGCAGAGCCAGTGCATTGTGTCACATTTATCTGCTGTAGGGCAGGGTTAGTGTCAAGAGCTCTGTCTGGCTCTTTTTCTGACAATTGTGCATGATCTTCCCCTAAAAGATGGCAACAGCTGCTTGCACTAGCTCCCGACATCTGTCTGCAGTATCCGCACAGCTGTATCCTGCATAGGTGCTGTAGGAAACACAAGCAGGTAATAGATTTTGCAAAAGTAGCTTGCAAGTCCCTGAGGCTGAATTGAACTGTTGTAAATCTCACTGCCAGATGTGGGTCTTCTGTCACTGAAATACACGCTGCCTTACCATACAGCCATGTAGGAACTGCCATATGAATTGCATCCACCAATTTAATTAACTTTTACCAAAGGGCTGGGGTTTGTCCTACTGAAAAGAGAACTATTTTTCATCTTCACTCCTCTCTTTCAAATCACAGGTAGTGATTAATTACTCGATTGTGAAAGGACTGAAGTACAATCAAGCAACACCTACCTTTCATCAATGGCGCGACGCACGGCAGGTCTATGGCTTGAATTTTGCAAGCAAAGAAGAGGCTACCACGTTCTCCAACGCCATGCTGTTTGCTCTGAATATCATGAACTCACAGGATGGAGGTAAATTAGCAGCCACTATGCCCTTTATTAATCTGTGACATTTTACAATGCTTGTTATCAATCACCTAGTGAAGTTTTATTGGATAGTATGCCATTATAAAACATGTTATAATAAAAAAAGTTGGTCTCTAGTAGGCAGCCTTTAGATCAGCATTTGCTGTGGTATAAATTGTATGTGTTTTCAGGTTTATTCGCCTTCCTTCTCATTTTTGACTCACCGTAGGAAATCAGTGGTTATTTGGGAATGCCTCAGCAGGCAGGTAGCCCTACTGATTTATGTGGATCTGTGTATGCGTTGTGTTACATGTAAGATGGCAGAATATAACTTTAAATGAACAGAAAGTAGAGTAAAATTACCAACATTTTGTAAGGTAGAACTCAGAGGTGGTATTTCCAGTGTGTTGGGTGTCAGCTGCAGCCATCGGCTCTTGAGGGCCACCTTTGCAAAAGAGGAGTGCATGGTGTTTTGGTTATTACCTAAGGTAAAATGCAAAGGCTTGTACTCTGGACATTGACTGATGTTGTTCCTAAGTACTATATTGACTGCAGTTGAAGTTTGTGGTGAAGTTTACTGTTCTGTGAAATTGTCCTTGCAGTGGCTTGATGAGGGCCAAAATAAAATCCTCCTTTCTAAATGGAAACCACTTTCTGGTCTGTGGTATCTGGATGAAGTACTGCCCTCAGTTACATGCCTATGACCTCTCTGCAGCTCCTGGGCTGGGAACAGAAAGTAATCCTTGTATGGTGTCTTTTTTCCTGCAAAATACACACCACAGCCCTGTTTTCCTTTTGAAAACAGAGTGAGTCAAGGTTTACATCACTTGCTGCCGTTCAGGTTTCACTGCAGTGTTGACTGGCAGTGGACAGCAGCTCTCTAGAGAGGGATTGTCTCCTGACAACCTTCAATACACAAATATGTCTTTACTAAAAGGTGTATTTGTAGTATAAAAGTTCATATTTTTTCTTTTGCTATTTCCATTCATCCTATTAAGCTGACAAATGCAAAAGTCATCAAAAATCAAGAAATGTCTTAAATTCTGAGCTATATTTAGAAGTACTGAGGAGTGAATTCTGCCTTCTTCAACTTGAACTTTTTCAGCTCTACTTGTGCCACAGCAGGAGACTTCAAGAGGAAATCTGGCCAACGCTCTCCAGTCCTAAACTCATGCAAGTCTGAAGAGTACAGAGCTCTTTAGATGCTCATATGTGCTCAACCCTTTTAGACCACCAGATGAGACTCCAAAATCCAGATACTTTGCCTGTGGTCTTGATGCAGTGTTTGGTTTAATGTCTATGATGAGTCTGCCTTTCTTCTGAAAGCCCTTAAGTTTGTTTGATTTTTTTCCATCTGTCTCTTCCCATCAAAGGGAGTGGGGTTTTGCAGGATTTTGAGGTTGTTCCAGGGAGGTGCCTTGTGGAAACACGAGTCTCAATATAAGAATCTATTGCTCTTAGGCTAAAATGAAAGAAACTGTCTTAAAGTGGATACTTTAATTTAGCTACTCCTAGCAAAGAACAACAGGTATTTTTAAGAAAGCATTTTTGAGTACTTGAAAAACCTATTAGATTTCAGAGAAGTTTGTGAATATACAGCAAATAACAAATTGTTTTTTTGGGGGTATTGTTTTATTCATTTACTTAGCACACCAAACTGTGTTAGATGCTTTACAGACATAGGATCCAGGCCATGCTGAAAAGCTTGCATTTAAAGTTTGTAGTTGTCACATAGACAGACATGAATTGGGTCACAGATGAAAAAATTTCCTACTTTCTTACTAGAAAAAAAAATGGCCTGGTAAACATTCAGTCTTCAACAACCCCTTTTCTCTCATACGTAAAGTGTTAAAAGTTTCAAAGATTGCCAGTTGTCTCATTCTTTACAGCTGAGCTTGTCAAAAACTCAAATTTGCACATATCTGTATATCTTTTCAGGCACAGCCACTGCCTGCTTACTCCATCCATTCTGCTGCCTATGTACTGCATTAGGGTTTGCTTTTTCATATGGAAAAATCATTAGGAAAAAAATGTATTTATTGTGTCTATGTATTAAAGTTGCTCATGTGCTTATGCAGATGGATGACAGCTTTAAGGACTGCATTTGTACGCACAGAACTGCTCACACACTAATAAAATCCTCAACCCAAACCAGAGATTTAAACAGAAGTTCCCTTTGGCATATTCATAGTACAGAATACCCTATCTATCTGCTAGCTCAACAGTTTGGGATATGCTACGTGCACTACTTGGGATGTGCTATTTCTAATGTTTACTTGTTTCATGTGTTCCATGCTGAGACATTATTGTATTTAGGTACTGCTAATCTTCCCATAGTTGGATACAGATTCTGCCTTCCATGGCTGCTTCTCCCTTTGTTCTGCCGCCCACTATGTCTACCACATAGACTAAAATTAATCATGGTAGACTACAGCAGAAAATCTGAGACTGCATCATATCTTCAGCAGACGTGGAGTCAGGGTACTGTAACATTTGGGAAAATAACTAGTCTTAGTCGCAAAGCAATGGTGTGGGTTTTTGAATAGCGCATTTAGATAAATTAGTTTAAAAAAATGGTAACAGTCTGTGTTTTGGTAAGTTGGAAATAATTTTTAGGCAGTGCTGACTTTCAAATGAATGAGTCACTTCAAATGAATATACAGTTATAAACTAGCTTGAGAATTACTGTACTGTCCCACCTCGCAAGAGAGACTACGATACCCAAGATCATTCACTACAGGTGCTGATCTCTCTGTGCTGACTACATGGGGCACTAGTGAAAACAAAACTGAGTGCTTCATTAAATGCCTAAGGTCAAAAGGTCTGAATCAGATCCTACATCCAGCCTGTGTTAACATCCAGCCCGTGTCAAGATCATCCCTGGGGAGGGATTCTTCCCAGGAGTCTGACATCTGGAAGTTTGGGAAAATTGGGAGAAAAAACAGTCTAAACTTGTTGTCTAGTTGTATTTCTGCAGTGGATGAACTCATACCCTTACCCATGGCGAGGACTGGCCATCCTACGTGTGGCCAAATTCTCAGTGCTGTGATGGGAGCCTCTCCCAGTGTGGTCCTCAGGGTGGGGTAAAGCAAGCCTTGCAGTGCAGGAGTGGAACACATACTCAGCTCAGTCTTGTGCTTTGTAAGGATTTTAATGATGATGTTAGGAGTAACCTGAAATGAGATAAAGACTAAAAAGAAAGTAATAATACAAATGTGTACCATCCTTCCTTTAGCAGTTGACAGTTGCCTTACTGAATCACAGTTGTTTACCTGTCAGCTTGTTTATGTGCCTAATTACTTTGCTTTCCTGATATGTCTCTTTAATCTGTTCTCCTTTATAATAAAAAATGAAGAGTTGGTCCTGAGCCAGCCTGCAAAATGAGAGCAAATGATAACATTGACTTGCTCATTACCAGTCTCTTGCTTACGGTTCTTTAATGGTGTCATTTAGTAAGACCATTAGTATGACAAATTACTTCCCATTAAATTGTTTTTCTTTCATGGGTGTCCACTTTGTGAAGCTAAGCCTTTTACTGGCATAAGTTACCTGATGCAAGGAGTGTCACCAGCTTACCTTGTCACCTGTAGCCAGATTTCACAGGGCACAGAGCATCACCCCTTCTTGCCCAGGGGTACTGCAGGAAAAGCATTTTGCATGGATCCTGCCTGCAGGCTGTTTGATGTTTGGTAAGCAGAGAAGGTTCATGTTTTTCAGAGCTTACATCATCTTAGATTTAACAAATGCGATGACCGGTGGCAGCATGGCACAGTTATTGGAGCAGGACATAAGATGAGGATATCAGTAAGCTAAAATGGGCAAGTTCTTCCCTGGCACAATTTTCTAGGAAAGCCAGCGGTGTCTGTGATAAAGGTAACGCTTTCTGCAGGACTTCTTTCTTGTACACTCAGCGCTTCTCCCAGTTAGTTGTTACACTTCCCTGAGAGAGGGAGACTATTTTCTCTCCTTTCTTGCTCCCCAAATCACTAGGGGCAGGCAAAGGAATGGCTTCATTTCTTTCCTTCCTTATTTGTTCACTTCAGAGACTGTCTTTGCTTCCCTGCTGGTCCCTGACAACACCTTCATGTTTCTATGCTGCAGAAGGAGGCAGTGGCTCAGTTTTGCAGCTTGGTGTGACCAGCTCTGAGGGCATCTTGGGCTTCCATGGCTTAAAGACTTGGTACCTCTTGGAAAAGAATAGAGAATCTGATCTATGCAGCCTGCTGGTAAATGCTGCCTATGACATTATGAATGTAACACATTATGGGCTTTTGCTTTTCTTTCGATGTCTTTGCCCTGGGGACTTGAATAGCTATTGTTGACTTACCGTGCAAGAAAATCATATTTCTAAATGTAAACACCACGTGCTGGAAAACCTTATGCAGAGGGCTATGTTGCAGAGTTTAGTCAGAGTTAAAGAGGTCAGCTGCCTTATCTGACTAAGAAGGGAGAAGTTGGAGGAAAGCAGGAAATAATAGGGGAGAGGTTTGAAGAAAATGAATAGTGATTTTTTTATTTTTTTTTTTGCTTGTAAGAAAGCCATTTTCTTGTTCTGAGTATAAGTGGCTTACAGACCACACAATACAGACATATTGGTCACAGAGAATGTGGAGTTCAGGCCTGTGCCTTCTGACATGGAGCTTCACAGACCCAGCTTTAACTCTGCAGGGAGGACGTTTTGGCAGGCAGAAAGATTGCTCCCCGCTCCTTTCTGATTAGCGGATCTGCTGGCTTTTCCACCATTGTGGATTATTGACATGTATTTCTCCAGCCCCCTTTCCCCAAAGTTGGATTTGATGAAATTCTTCAGAGTTTGAGATCTTTTTCCGTTCCTTTAGTCATTCTTCTCCTACCCTCATCCAGAAGTGACTGCATTTCCATATTGCTTGGGGTAGTTCCTTGGAAAACACTTCGAGCCCTCCAAAATAATGGGAGAAATAGAAGAATAAAGCATTGATTCATCAAACAGCAGATAAACTGGAAATATACAGTATACATTCTCTCTC